CGTCCGATGCCGCTGCCGGAGGGTACAGGTTCCCTAGGCAAACTAGTTCGTGGCCATGGCGAACACACTTCCCGCACGACGCGCGTGGCCAGAACAACAAAGTAGGGGGTGGGGAGGATGACGGTATGAACAACAATGTCGAGTTAAGGAGAAGTCCGAATCACTTGTAACTATTTACACGGTTTAAGTACAACCAATTGTCCACGTGGGAAGAACGAAATAAGACTACAAAACGTGTGCTTTACATTCGTCTTGGTCCAATATTTTCGCCGCCGCGCCTTGCCTACTAGGTGCACCCACAGCCGCCTCTTCAGCCATGACTTACAGAAGCATCAGCATTGCCAGAACAGAGGACGATACTGTACCTCGAGGGACTTCCACCAGTACTGCGATATTTCTTCCAAATCCACGAAGTTAGCCGGGCCCGATCGCTGGCCACACCTCTACCTCGCACACAGAATGGATGTCGTTATCAGGACTAGCCTGGCCGACAAACAGAGCGCGCCCGCAACAACGGGCACGTAGTGCTGGACTTGCGCAGGGTACCATAGATCCCAGCCGCAACCTCTGTCTCATTACCTCCAGGGTGTTGTAGCAGCTATCTTTCCCCCCGCTGATGAGCGCCACGAACTTCATCGTGAAAGCTCCTCTACCTTCACCGAACCACCACAAGAGGGTAAAATAGCCTCCGTGTGGCTACGAGAGAGAAGCCCTTAGGTATCTGCCACAGAGTTGCCGCTGCTGCTGCTGCTGGTGCTGCTGCTGGTGCTGCTGCGGGTGCTGCTGCGTGTGGTCCAGGACACCTCGATGGCTTGCAACACGCCAAACGGCGTCTCCGCCCCAGCGGCTGCTTGCAATCTCCCTATCCCCTTCCCCCGTGCGTGCCACCCCACTATCCCTTTCTCCTTTTCCGTAACGAGGTGCCCAGTACGCCACGGCTCTCTCTCTCTCTCTCGCAACCGATGGGCGGGGTACAAGCGAAATGGCTGCGGCGGTTCTGCTGCTAATTGCGCCGCATATGTTCCGAACGGGTCGTCGGTGGTTCGCATGTGGAGGATTGGTTCCCTGATGAGCCCCTGAGCCAGCGCTTTAAATAGCCGCGAAGCGGCTGTTGCGGAGCCGCCAGAGGCGATTTTTTTTTTTATATTTACTTGGTTTTGAAAGGAAATTACGTCAAAAATAGTGTTGTTATTTAATAACGGCGAGAAAAAAGACTCTTTTCTATGATGGAGATGGTTTCGTGGTGTCATATTAAGAAAAATAAAAAAAAGGGCCCCAAAAAAAAAATTTCGCCTACGGCGAAATGGACCAGAATGGACCCCCCCCCCAAAAAGATTTCGCCGTACGGCGAACGAACGTGTTGCGGGCCAAAATTTTTCGTTGCGGCAAGCCGCAATATCCATCCAATTGTTGCGCTTCCGCAACTTCGCAACTCCGCAACACCTATTTCAAGCGCTGCCCTGAGCCCCTGAGCCCCTGATGAAGCCGTCTGATGTGAAGAATGAAAGGCTACATTGAAGACAGGCCGCACGGCCGAACAATAGCCGAATATTGGTCGGAAGTAAATAAAAAAAAGCTGCGCACATTTGCACGTTTGCCGCCATTCGCCACAGAGCAGCCGCCAGCCGCCAGAGACAGCCACGCCCAGCCCCCCACCCGGCGCTGGGACAGAAGGGGTGAGGAGAGGGGATCCGAGGGTGGGTATCCACGGAAGAAGAGAACAAGGGTGAACTTACCATGGTGCCCGTTAGCGGCAGACGGAGATTGGTCTGCTGCCTCTACCAGCTTTCCGCTTGTTTTGCCGTTGGGAATCACGGAGAGGCAAAAGAAGGAGGGCTGGTTTTTTTGTGCTTCGTAGGGGGATTGTAGCAGTCTCCGCATTCCCAAAGACACGCTGCTTGGGTGTTGCCTTCATGTCTACCGCGACTCTAGCTTCTATGCGGCAGGAATCCCTTTTGCCCTCCTGCGCTCATTATTTTGGGGGCAAAGGAAGCCCTGCGCAGTCGTCACATGGATGATGGACAGAACAGCAGGAAAGTGGAAGGCGGACCACGCAACATGCTCATTCGCTTCTGTAAGCAACATCGGATGAACTTTGGCAGACTGGGGAGGGAGACGCTGACTCCCAGAGCAGGAGCATTCGCTCCAGCGTGCTGTCTACTGTCCAGGGAAGCACGCGCGTAGAGTTGGGTCCCTCTCTGTCCGGATGAGATCAAGCTTTCGATCCCGATGCGGATGAAAAAAAAAACGCAAGCAACCACACACACATCACACACATCATGTGAAGACGGCAAAAAAAATGGTTGTTTGTGGACGGGACTGATTCTTCAGAAGCTACCCATAAATCGTGCACAAAGAGTCAAATGGCTGGCGTGGATGCCGTGGCAAAAAAAAAGAACCCAAAAATCGCGCCCTCGTTTGTGCGTTGCGCTGCTGTAAACAAACGTCGATACGGTTGCCCTTGTTGTACATATATATGCATACAATAGGATAGCACGAAAACAACAGTCCGTCCAGTTGCAGCACAGAAATATCTGCGAAATATTGTAGAAACTGATGTGGATTACATACTGTATGTAGAGCGTTGTGGGTGCCCGGTGCTCGGGTTATAATTTTTCCCGAAATTTTACGACAACGTGCTGCTGCCGGCAAACGTGAGTCCACATGTGGGAGAGCAGGCGCGGGAAGGGAGGGAGGCACAACCCTCCGCACATGTCTCATGATAATAAACAATAGCCGGTAGGTACGCCTCATTCAGACAGGAATCGCCGGACTTGGGGGCCACGTATCGATGGCAGACCGTCTCCGTTATTGTACGGGTTTCAGAATTAATTGTTGTGTGCGTACGGGTGACAGAACAAACTGGGGCCCGCATTAAGAATCAGAGGCTCACATTTTCACCAAGGCTAAGAATATTGGGTTGTCAACACACTTTAGCGGTGGATCCTTACACTAAACTCCCCCATGCAGCTTTTTTTTTTGGGGGGGGGGGAATTAAAAAGCTGAAAGCCTCGACCTGATGTTGACGCTTCTGCTGTATGCTGTACTTCACATACAATGATGATGTCGTTTCCCTTTTCCTCGGAACCGGGACGGACACAAAATTTTGCTACTCAGTACAAATCAGTGTGAAGGGAAGCATCGCAGGAGGGGTGGACGGGGAGGAAGCCCTTCTTTCTGTGTGACCACGGATGGATCGGATGGATCGGAGCTCCAGCAGCAGAAGTACCCGGCTATGTATGTATGAGCTGTGAGCGCTGATGGCCAACAACAAAAAAAAGGCTGAGGTTAAGACTCGAAACAAGCGCAGTATCCGGCCGGATTTTTCGCCCACTCAGTGCAAAAAAATCAGCGCAAAATCAGCGCAAAATATCCACTTCGACTGCTGCTGTGGTGATACCTCGAACGGGTGCAATGATGGTGTTTCTGTGATTCTATGAGTATTCCCTGAAAAAATGCATAGACTGGTTTGGTGTGTTGTTGATATAGTGGGTGGGTGTGGAGTTAATGCGAGTGTGTCATCGTAACTCGCTTCGCTCGAAGACACTTCACGGTATTTCGGGCGTGTTGCAGCGTGCGGTCCCAGTGCGGGTCGACTCGCTTCGCTCGAAGGCACTTAACGGTATTTCGGGCGTGTTGCAGTGTGCGGTCCCAGTGCGGGTCGACTCGCTTCGCTCGAAGGCACTTAACGGTATTTCGGGCGTGGTGCAGTGTGCGGTCCCAGTGCGGGTCGACGTGCATGTACTCAACGGGAGTTCGTGCGCAGGCAATGTATGTTTCCCCCTCTCGAGGAAATCGCTTTGTTCACTGGTGTGGCTCTCTTCGCTCGTTGACACTTGGTTGGCTGTATGGGACAAGAGGATTAATCGTTGGAACGCTCGGCAAGTGCATACATACTCCCCCTCGATACGTCTTGCCGCACCCGAACCGTTGTACAGTACCCCAGGCCACACACCTATCCACTCGCCTGGGGCATTGTACGTCTGTCTTTCATCCCAGAGGGTAGCGTTAGGGTGGCGGCCCTTGTCGCGGTTGAGTTTCGTGCCATTCTGTTTGACGAAGGCCTGGGCGTGGAGGAAGCGGCATTCCTCCCCGTTTTCTCCCAGGGCTCGGAGGTGGTCCTCGTTAATCTCGTGGCACTGGGGCACTGTGTCGTCTTGGTCTGGAGAGCTTCTCTTGTACGGGGCAATGCACGGTGTCGCTTCAGAGGCATTGATTAGGGAGTCGTGCGTCGTGTGCTCGAGTCCTTGATTGCCGTCGAGTCCCACCACCCTGGAGAGGAGAACGTCCCAGGCTTCGCCATCCAGCACGCCGTCATGTACCTCGTCTAGGCAAACCTGGAAGTCGGGGTCGTCCTGCTGGCGAAATTTTTCTCTCAGCTCGTGCATCTTGAATTTCGACCAAAGTCCCAAGACGTACACGGCACAGTTGTTGTACACGACGCCGAACAGACGTGGGGGCACTGGCGGCAGTTGGCAAAGGTCCCCAATGGCGATGATGGTCCTTCCTCCGAACGGGGCGCGTCATTTGTGCGGTAGTGCCGCTCTCCTAAGTACATGATCCGTGGCGGCGAGTAGGTGAGCCGTGGCCATGGAGATCTCGTCGATGATGACGACGTTAATCTCCTTTAGCGCGGGCCATAGCGGGTTGGATGGATCAAGGCCGGACTCGAACCCTTTGGACAGCTGCAGAAAGCGGTGCAACGTCACGCCCCCGATGTTGCCCGCTGCTGTGGCAGTGGTGCCGGTGACTGCCACGCACTGTCCCATGGACCGAAAGGCATCAACGAGGAAGCGCGCGACGTGAGACTTTCCGAACCCAGCTCGCCCACTCAAGTAGTACAAGTTAGGCTCACTGGAGAGGACGACGGCGGCGAACTCTTTCTGCGATGGAGCGAGAAGCGCAAAGTCTGGAGGCGCGAAAGTTCCAGACAGGACCTCCGGATCTTGGCCCAGCCACTCCGCAACCTGTTTGTGGGTCGCAGGTGCTGGCGCCTCCCCATCGAGCAAGTCCGGGTCGGGTTGCGACAGCACGACATCCATGGATCTGATGTACAGGAAGTCCTCAACCTCTTGCGTGGTGGCGGCTCGCCGGTCGTCGCCAACCTACACGTTGGAATGGAAGATTTGAAATGGTTAAGGATGGGGACGAAACAGGAAACCGCACGCAGCAAGCACTACAGAAACCAGTACGGAGGCAAAGGGCAGTTTGACGATGACATAGAGAAATTCACCTTTTGCCTGCGTAGGTCCTTGTCCACAGCCGCCAAAATGTTTGCAGTGGTGGACTCCTCATCGCCGAGCACCCCCTCCAATTGGCACTGTCGCTCGTACGTCCCCTCGTCGTTTTCATCGGAGATGAATTCGCCGAGGCTTCGGAAAGGTCTGGAAAGGATGAGGTGGTGGTAGTAGAATTGCTCAAATGGTTGCCGATCCGGGCGGTAGATGGCAAACCCGAGGATCCTCACCCCGGAGCTCCTTCGCCAGTAGGCGGCGTTCTGGCCGTTGAAGTAGTCGGGCAAGGTTGACGGTGGCTCCCTGCTGCCGTCTGATGGGAGCATGTAGACAGTACTCTTCGTACGTCATGTCGTCGAAGTCCACCTCTGCGTTGACGTTGTCCGGCATATTTGCGGCCCG